TCCGGTCCCTGGAGTGGGTCCAGGAGTCGGAACGGTTCGCGGAGTGGGCGGAGGCCGGGGAGGAACCAGGTTCCCATGGCCAAGAATTTCTAAGTATCCATGACTCAGATCGTTCCTGAGGTCCGCCTGAGCCAGGGCAGGGTTCAGTACCCTGTACTCCCCATAAGTCCGAGCACGCTTGTACTTCTCATACCTCACGTTGCTCTGGGAGTCCTTCCTCTTGGGATTTACCTGGTTGAAGCGTAGTGGTGTACTGTCGTCGAGGTGTGGGCTGATAGGCCAAGTGGACGGAAATTGCATTTACGGCAGTACAATATGTTTCCGGTAACGAGTTAGTGAGTTTAGACCACCTATCATCATCCAGCTAAATAAAACTGCTGGTTGTGGTGGTCCTCTCCCAGCTCGCCGCTTCCCCGGGGTCCGGGGTGGCGCGGCTTATATTTTTTTTGGCCCGCCCACCACCCTCCTTCGGCACAGATGAAGCACCCGCCCTGCCCTACCCTCCTCCATCCCCGCTGAGGTGGCTGCGCCATCCAAGCGCGGTCCGTCGGCCTTCATCCTGGCATATTTAATTGAAACTGAGCTCAACCTCCCCTCGAGGGAGGATCTTACTTGCTTCCTTTAGCTCCTGAAGGCTAGTGGGAGATACGAAAGGCCAAGTGGACGGAAATACAAGAATAGATCGATTGCACGCTTTACAATGTGTTCGAGACAAACAACAAACCAAGCGGGGCTTCGGCACCCCTCAGCAAACGGCGATGACCTTCGGCGCCTCCGCGACGACGTCCTTCGGCGGCTTCCCGCCCGCGGGCGGCGCGGCGCCCGCCTTCGGCGCGCCCCCGGCCTTTGGGCCCCCCGCCGCGCAGCCGGCCTTCGGCGGCTTCGGCGCGCCGCCGTCGACGCCCGCGGGCCAGCAGCCGGGCGCGAGCCTCTCCGGCGCGAGCCTCTTTGGGCCCACCCCGGGCGCATTCGGTGGTGGAGCTGCAGCGCCCGCCCCGGCCGCCCGGGAGGTGCTGGTCCCGACCGAGGCATCAGTTCGGTTGGCCCTTTCTTTTATCACCCCGGAGCGGGCCGCGGAGTTCGTGCTCGCTACGCCCTCGCTCCGGCGCAAGGTGGACGCCGCGTTCGCGGCGATCGAAGAGGACCGCTTCCTGCACGAGCTCCTCGGCCGTGACGTCGGAGCGCCGCCGTTGCCGTGGCAGAATGCTGCCTCCACCGTCAACGTGCCCATTACCGTACCCCCTGGTCTCGGGCCGGGCAGCAAGATGCAGGTGGGGAGGCACATCATCGCGCTGCCCGCGTGCGCGGTTCCCGGGAGCGTCGTCACGGTTCAGGTGCCGGGCGAAACGCTGCGCCGGGACACGCAGGATATCGCCGCTCTGCGCCCTGGCCAGGAAGAGTTCGATGCCGTGGCCGCGCACTTTGCCCTGCGCGGCGGCGGGGGCTTCCAGGTCCACGAGGTCTATAGGCTGCGCAACATGTCGCTTCACGCGCGCTACAGCGGCTCGGTCAAGGCCGTTGCCGCACGACACGGTGGCGTGGAGCCGCTACAGCGGCTGCTGTTCCACGGGTGCGCCCACCCCGAGCCGTGCCGCACGATTGCGGCGCAGGGCTTTGACCACCGCCTCCACGCGACGCACGGCCGGGTCTACGGGGATGGGGTGTACCAAGCGCGCGACGTGGGCTACAGTCACAATTACGCTCCCGCGGACAGCGGTTCGGGGTGGCACCACATGTTCCTGAGCGCGGTGGCCGTTGGCTCGAGCTGCACGGGTCGGAAATCTATGAAGCGCCCGGATCTGCGCGAGGGCTCGACCACGGTGCACCACGACACGGCCGTGGACGACGTGGACGACCCCTCGATCTTCGTCGTCTTCGAGAGTGGCGCCACACAAGTGCTCCCACTGTACGTCGTGGCCTACACCAGCGGTGGTGGCGGCGGAGGTGCGCCTCGGCAGCAACGCCAACTGCTCGCCACGAGGGAGGAGGGCGACGCGTTTTTTCGCCACCTCGTCGAGGACGGCAGCGCCTTCGCCGCGCTGCGGCGCCTGCCGTGCGTGCGGCGAGGACTCCGCGCGCACCCCGTCCCGGACCCGAACGTTTGATAAGGCCTCATACAAAACGAAGGAGACGTTATATGTATTGATCATTTAAACATTTTTTATTGTAGAAATGAAGCTGGACAACTAAATACCAAAATTTTTAAAGGCTTGTCGCCTAAATACCAAAAACATTTGATTGATATAACAAAAGGTGAAATAAATGAGCATAAACTGAAAACTGCTATTTCTATAATCCTGGACATGAAAGCTATTTTGGTGAAAAATTTCATGGAACAGAATTCCGTAGAATCTGATGAACAATGATGAATCCTGTCCAAAATACAAGAGCGTCAAGCATGATATATATTGTTGCGAAGATTGACTTATATATTTTGGAATTCAAAAATAATTTTTTAAATACTTTATAGTTTTAATGGTAAATGTAATTATAGAATATACTTTGGTTTTCTTAGTTCCAATTTTTTTCGCCTTTCTATTCAATACATTTTTCAGGAAAGATGAAAGAGCCAACATGAAGATCGTTTATTATAAAATTTTTACTTTCATGTTAATTTTGTATATTGCATCTCATGTTGTTCTTTATGTTCCTGAAGATAAACCCTATTTTTCATTTTTAGGTAACGTTCTTCTTGCTATCATAATATTTGAACTTTTTTTATTGCCAGATGACACTACTGAGTCAACTGATGTAATCATGTTCCATCAATTTGTTTTGTGGGTAGTGGTGTTTATACTTCTATTCAATTGCTACAAATTTCATTTTAAGAAGTTAAATGGAGACGACGAGTGGTTTGATATCAAATTATATAGAGTTGATAAATTAGCATACAAAATTAGTAAGGAATTTTCACTTTATCCAGGAGAAGATGATACGATACAGCAATTACCATTATCAAACATTTTCGGTTATATTAAATTTCTCAAAAAAGAATAATGGTAAGTACAAATGAAACAGAAATAAAAACAAACCGCGAAATTGAAAACGAGGCATGTCCTTCTAAAGATACTTACTCATCTGAATTTGATCACATAAATGGATATGGTAATTTAAGTGAAAGTGCTGGAAGCGGAAGAATGATTATGAAACAAATAAAATGTCCTCCAGAGTCTGGTAAACGAAATGTTGAAACTTTTTTGAGAAAATGGATTCCAGCTATTGAAACTTACGGTTTAGACTATACCGGAATCGGAGATATCACTGGAACAACAAATAACAATCTCGTCTGCCTTCGCCCGTGCCGAGCACTTCTCGTTCGACCTACTCGAGCCAGACGACGCCGACGTGGAGTTGACGTTCGAGCAGCGCTACGAGCAAGAGTACCTCCACGCGGAGCACGACGGCGCCAGCGCGAAGTCGGCGGCGAGCTGCGCAGACGAGGCCGACTTCCACGTGCGTGAGTTCCTCCGCTTCCTGGCGCTCAAGTCCGTGCGCCCCGACGTGACCCCCTCGGTTGTTGTGGACAACGTCTTCCACCTCGCCCTCACGTACACCGTCGCGTACGCCCACCTCTGCGCGCTGGTCGGCGGCACCTTCATCCACCACGACCCCACCCCCGGCGGCGACGCCGCAAACGCGCGCTACATGCGGCAGTACGAGGACGCGCTCGAGCTCTACGCCCTCGCGTTCGGCGCCCCACCTCCGAGGAGCGTGTGGCCACCCGTCGCGGAGAGGATGGACCCGCAACGAGACTATGTCTCGTTGCCAAGGTCGCGGGTCCAGGAGCTCCGCGCCGCGGCGATGAAGAGCAACATTATAGGGGGGGTATGGTAATAATTAGTTAGCTGACTACCTACTCAAGCAGGTAGACTAGTGAGTAAGAAAAGAAAAGGAGCACAACGTCACTAGGATATGTATCCTTCGACACTCATTTTTAAGTACAATAAGATTCGCTTGCGTGGTGGTGGGGATTGCGAAGATGAAGACGAGGACGACCTGGTTGGATATATTAAGGACATGCCACCCCGTCTTCGGCAAACCTTCCTTAATGATCATCAACCTCGCATTTCAGCACGTGAAGCCGACGAACTTTCTCCAATGATCGACAACGATCGCTATGATCATGAACATTGCGACGAAAATGATTCTCTGCCCGATGAGGCTCTTCAGGCAATTAAAGACGTTGATGCTATGAATTCCAACGCATAATTTCTTCGTTTCATGGATGAAGAAAAACAGCGTGTAATGGAAGCAGAACGTCGCGAAATCGAAGAAACAGAGAAGCGATTGAATGATCTGGGGACTGTTTTGAATTCTGAAGACGACGATGACGAGTCTGCTTTGAACTCCGACGATGAGACTGAGGACATCGAGGGTAAAGCATGGTTTGAAGTTGGAGAGCACTACGTCGATAAAGAGGATATGTGGAGCAAAACTTTTGGAGACTGCAAACACTGTTGCTCTGAAAAGGAGTATCTGGAGCAGACACAAAACGAGGACGACAAAAATCATCTGCTCCGTTTGCGTGGTGGTGGTGACAACGAAGATGACGAGGATTTGCCTTCATACTCCGACTCCGACGAGGACGATTTGATTTGCCCACGTTGCGGTAAAATCGCAAACGTTCCCAACAGAATGGGTCAATTGTGCCCTTCGTCTCAAGATTGTGGACAGATGATTTGTCGTGCTTGTCTTGACGACATGACCCATTCTAGAGAGATGTTCTGTCCCCCATGTTGGCAACGCAACTTAGATCTAGACTTCAGACCATCATCTTATGAGGAGTATTGCCGTGAGGGTGAATCGCTCGCAGAACAAATAGCCCTCTACCAGAATTTGTCTTCTGACTCCGACTCCGACGAGGACGATTTGATTTGCCCACTTTGCGGTAAAATCGCAAACGATTCAGGCAACGGAATGGGTTATTTTTGTCTTGCTGGTTGTGAAAAGATGATTTGTCTTTCCTGTATTGACGAAGATGAAGTATGGAACAATCCATCACCAGGCTGGATGCTCGACAATGACACGTACGAAGACTGGCAGTGCGTTGCATGTCGCAATAAAGATAACATTTTAGCGTCACGGTCGGGACGCTGAGGCGACTGTGGGCACTTGGGTAACAAAAAGAGGGCAACAAAAGGAGGACAACAAAAATGAGATCTAGAGCGGCTGGGTTCGGCACGAGGGCATAGATCATCGAGTTCGGCGATACGCGAGCGCGCACCGGAACGGAGTACGCCAGGCTAGACTCCAAACGGCACCAGAGCGACTTCATCTTGGCGCTTCTTGTCACTTCTTTTTATCTTTGACTTGCGAGGCTAACACAACTGCCTCAAAATCAGGGAAAATAGCCCGCTGCAGATAATTCTCCTGACCCTCCGAGTCAGGCTAGTGGGAGATACCGGCGTTGACGGAGGCGCATTTTCTACGCTTTCTATCAATAAATTCGTGAGGGATGTTTTACCGTTCGCGTTTCCCGGCAGCGCTTGCGCTCTAGCTGGTAGTGCATATGGGTCAGGTCCTTCAAACCTGCTAGGGTATCTGAAATCGACAACCCTCCGAGCTTAGATGACGACGAACTGTCGGACTATCAGTTGAAGCTGAAGGAAAACTTCGCCAGCATAGTGGGATCCTGTATCTACTTTTCTATCACTTGCAGGCCTGACCTCTCCACCATTGTGTCCAAAGCCTGTAAAGGCATGCATGGACCAAAGAAGATTCACATACTTTATTTGCAACTTGACTCAGTGAAGCAATGATCCAATATCTCAGGGCCGAAAATATAAAAAAATAAAAAATAAATAAGCCTCCGGGGGGTTTAGGGAGCGTCCACGCGCCTCGGCGGGGCGTTAACCCACGCGTAAAGCGGGATAGGGAATCTCGCCGATTTTGGCCTGGCTGTGCCTGCGACGACCGAACCATTACAAAGCCACTCGGGCGACGCGCGCGCGTCCCGACGCAGACTGCGGACTTCTGTCCAAGCGCGGTCCGTCGGCCTTCATTCTGGCATCTTTAATTGAAACTGAGCTCACCCTCCCCTTGAGGGAGGGTTTTACTTTGCTTCCTTTAGCTCAGGCTAGTGGGAGATACGAAAGGGTGGACCGAAATGCAATTTTAACAATCACCCAACTTTACCACGAGTTACTAGGGAACCACCGCTCAATCTTGGTCCGGTCGCGAAAATTATACTGTGAATGAACGGTTTGCGCGGACCAAGATTGAGCGGACCGTATAAAATAAACTGCGAGCCATCCAATCGTGAACGGACCGGACCAAGACGTCTTCCGGACCAAGATGCAGCGGTGGTTCCCTATACAGACTTGATGAGTCGAAAGCGCGTTCGACAGTGGCATCAGTGCGAGAATCCGCGCAAGCACCTCAAGTCGCTGGACAATCGTGCGCTCCTCGAAGAATTCGAAGAGAATATTCGGGAGAATGGGCTGCTCGTCGCGACGTCGAGCGGGTGCGTGGCGATGTCTCATATTACCCTCCTTGCTTTGCCTCTTTCGACGTCCACGGCATAGGCGTGACAAGGCCGTTGCGCGTAAAGAGGCCAATGAGTTCGTTGCCTGCATCAAGGAGAAAGGGTGGTCAGGCGAGAAAATGTTGCAATCGTTACGAGTCGAAGGCGGCAATGAGGCTTCATGGTCAAATGATCTGCGCGCCGCAGTGGAGGAGTCCATGAAGCGGGATGTGTATTGCCGCTTCAACGTTTTCGACATCCAATCCATCGATGAGAAAACAAATTCAATCACTGCCAAATTGTACCTCGAGCTAGCTTGGGAAGAACAGTCTTTGCGGCCGTCGGAGATGATCTCAGATTGGAGTACAATCTGGACCCCTACACCAATTTTTCAGAACAGGCTTGGAGAGTTTGAAGAAATCAAGGCTCCCTGGGTCGTGATCGACGAGGATTACTCGAAAAAGTTTGAGAAGACGATGATCTGTTGGCGTACCATCGTTCGCGGCTCTTTCCAGCAGCAATTTGATTTCGAATTCTTCCCGTTTGACCTTCAGCGGCTCCGCGTCGTCATTGAGATGTCAGTCCCGGATGTTCGCATAAAAAGAAATCGAGAGTATCCGTCTCAAGTGAGCGTGGAACAGTTTGGCATCAAAGCGGCGTGGAAGTGCCACTTCGAGGAAGTTAAGGTCGAGGAGGACCGTTCGGGCCCCAAGGGCAACTACGCCCGTGTGGTCCTGAAAGTGAAAGCGGAGCGGCAACCAGAATACTGGGTTGTGAATGTTGGGTTGTTGATGTTCGCCATTGTTTCTTTGGGTTTCACGACGTTCGCGCTGCCGACAAGCGACACCTCCGACCGTCTGCAATTGGTATTGACTCTCTTTCTCACGGCTGTCGCCTATAAATTGCTCATCGCGGAGCGTCTTCCAGATTTGCCATATTTGACCTTGTTGGATATGTACGTCCTTCTCGGTATTGGAATACTGTGCTTCATCGCACTCGAGTGCGTCGCTGTTGCGTGGCTGTCGCAGCTGTTTCCACAAATTGCGGTCGAATTCGACAAGTTGGTGTTCCGGCACGGACTGCTCGCGTGGCTGGATTTCAATGCGACCACGTGGAAGCAGCACAGATGCCAAGAATCTAGACTGACCTTACCGTCTGTCTCTGCCACCATAGCCAGCTGCCTCACAGGCGAGTTCATCATTTTGGGTTTCACGACGTTCGCGTTGCCGACGAGTGACACCTCCGACCGTCTGCAATTGGTATTGACCCTCTTTTTCACGGCTGTTGCCTATAAATTGCTCGTTGCGGAGCGTCTTCCAGATTTGCCATATTTGACCTTATTGCACAAGTATGTCCTTCTCGGTATTGGAATACTTTGCTTCAGAACGTCTTTATTGACAGCAAATCATCCATTATCTACAATTATGACATTACTGTCTATCTCTGCCACCATAGCCAGCTGCCTCAAAGACAAGTTCATCATGATCCTTTTTCTTTCTCTCGTGCAAAGAATATAGACTGACCTTACTCACGCGGAGGGGCCCCAAGCAGACCTCGATCTTGACGTAAGCCATAGCCGCGTTTAAAGGACCGTTGTTCCGTCGAAACCCCGATTCCTCGTCGATTTAGCCTCTTTTTATGAGTTTCTGCTAAAAGATCGTCGCGAGGTGCTCTGTGGCGCGGAACGCGCAGGGCGGGAGACGACGGCGAGCGCGGAGTCACCCGTCGCACTCGGCGACGGTCTTGGCGTTCTCGGCCTCGGATAGCACGACGAGGCGTCCGTCGACGGCGGCAAAGGCCGCCGATAGGTTCGTCCTGGGCGTGCCGGCCAGGGCCCGCGCCTGTTCAACGAACGGGCGCCCCTGCAGCTCCAGCGGGACCGGGTTGGACACAACCATGGTCACCGCCGCTCGGACCTACACTATGCCCCCTTACCCAGAAAGAATTTCGCCGGCGGGCTGCTTCAGCAGCGCCGGCCAGATAAGAGCATAAGGAGCGAGTATCGACTGAGCTGCAATAATAAATAACAGCTCATTCTCTCTCTCTCCTTTGGGCGCTACTTTCCTGGCTAATCGAAGATTACCTGTACAGATTCTGCCTTGTACATACGTTAAAACGAGGCCCGGCCGTCCCGGACTGCCGGTCGAGGGCAGCGCTCGTGAGGTCTTCCTTGATTGTCTCGACGGGAATATTGAGACAATCACGAACGGCTCGCCCCAAGTGTGATTGGATGGACAATTGTAGAGTCGAAATCATAGAAGCACCCGCGCCAGTGCTGAACGAGCCCGAGCCCATGGAGGAGACGGCCAACAACTCCGACGTCGAATACGTCGATTTCTGCCAAGAATACGTCCTCAACATCGACTTAGATAATGAACGATTATCTGATGATGAAGTTCAAAAACTACTCTCATCACTCAGTGGTGACTCCTCCGACGACAGAAGCAGCTCGTCCGAGGATGCGGCGAACGACGCAGCCGAGACTTCGGATGCGGCGAACGAAGAGGCCGAGACCGCAGATGCGATCCAAGCTGCGGATCGCGCAAACCATCGGGAGCTCAATGGGCGGGACGCGGATCGCTTGCGGCACGGGGGTCAGCGCAACGTCAATGATCCGGAGAATGCGGTTTCCAGGACTACCGCTAAGGTCCCGCTAGTAAAAAGGTCAGGCCGTTACGAGCCGTTGCTTGATGCAAACGGAAACGTTGATGCAAAAGCAGCAGAAAACAATTTTGTAGTGCGCGAGATTTCGAAGAAAGGGGAAGGCACTATTGTCGAGAAAGCTCCATCCTTCAATCCCCAAAATGCACTAGCTTTGGCATACCAGTCACAACTTAAAAAGTATTGGGATGATTTGTGTGGATTTCTTAAGAAAAACGCGGGCAATTTCAAGAAACTCGAGCCTTATTTTGTCAGTGACAAATGTTGTAGAAACAATTCTTTTCTAAAAGCTCTGGGCAGCGTCATCGGCCCACGATGCTTTGAAATATTGGACGAATGCTACATAAATAAGTGGAAGGGGACCGAACTCAAAGAGAAGCTAAAGTCATACTTAAATGAACGCTACCCTGATGATTCTACCCTAATCCAGCCAAGCCGCGATGATCGAACTAGAAAGGAGGATGTGCATGGCAAATTCGGGGACAACGCCGACGACAATGCCACCGCCGCTGGTACTGCCGACGCGTCGCAGGGATGGCATCATGTAAGTCAAGCTCACGGGGAGTTGAGTAAAGAAGGCTCAACGAAAGTGGATGCGACTGTATCCTGGCGACGTAAACTCCGACGTGCATCCGTCAAGGTCCGGGTTGTTGCTCGATTTCGGCTCGCCCCGGGCGAGCGTATTCCTGACCGCTTGGAAGATATCCCTCCGTGGATAAAAAAACGTAGCGACCGTCAAGAGATCTCCGAAATTCAGCAGTCATCATTACAAAAAATTGATGCTCTCGAGGACTCTGAAAAAATGGGTCATCTTTGGAACTGTGGTCGCGAGATTGGAGAAAGTGATTTGTCAGAGCACCCTTGCAAAGATTTGATCGTTGATTCTCTGGGCAATCTCAGGCTATTGAAAGCGCGTGTTTCATTGAGTTCTCAAACCGATGATACTGATGAAGATGAGTCTAAGCATATCGGTCGCATCATTCAGGATTTAAATTTTCTCAAGAACTTCATCCTTCAATTTGAAGAGGTATACATCAAAACTAGAGGTGAACTCAAGCGCCAGCACCTCATTTTCAAGGAAACTCGTAAGTGGCAAACGCTAAGCGAGCGGGGGGAGAAACGCAACTTGAAGGAAACCGCTGAAGATGGTGCATCCAAGAAGCTTAAAGTTACTGAACTACCCTCGAGGATTATTCCCTGACTCTTCCTCAACTTACCTTCAAGTTCTACCTCAACTTACCCTCAGGGTCTACTTCCCTCTCTAGGACCATAGGCTCAGCCTACTGAGCCTACTGCCACCTGACCGACCTTCCCCACTGAGGAGGCTCTCCTCCCTTTTCCTTTCCTTTCCTATCCGAAAGTACTGAGATCCTCCCTTCCCTGGCGCTAACTTATGACTTACAAGGATGTCAATTTTGAGTTGGAATCTTGTTATCTCTCCCGGTCATCCTACCTTGGCTACGTAAACGGCGAAAATGTGAAAGGCAACAAAGTATACTCCATACAACGAGCCTCTCCTACTTTCACTAGTTGGGCGAACATCCTCATTCTAGATGACAGACACAAGAACAAGATGTTTAGAGGGATACGCGGCTTAACTATAGTTTTGCCCCCCTTATTGTATCTTAGTTATTTTATCCATAAATAGGATAAAATAACTAAGATACAATAAGGGGGGCAAAACTATAGGTAAATACTTAGCGGGATTAGTTCGCCGGGGGGTAAAATAATAAGGCTGCCGAAAGATATATCTTAGCCCGAACCGGGAAAAGCGGGCAGGCGCTATAGACGGCAGCGATGAGCTCGCAACTCATTAAGCGCTACGATGTTATGGACCAGCGTGAAGCGCTTGAAGCGCTCTGTTCGCTCGTGGAGCACGCCGCGCGGCAGAAGTTAAAGTTTGCGCCCGCGCAGAAGCTGTCGCTGAGCTTGATGAAGTCGTCGGTCTTGCTCGGGCACTTGTCGCAGCAGGCGCTCGTCAAGAGCAAGGGCTCGGAGTTGTCGCTGAAGATGCTCTGGACGCCCGACGTCATCAAAGGGCTGGAAGACGTGCCAGAAGCGCCAGACAACGACGACGATGACGATTCAGTTGCTGTTCAGCACGTCAAATCTGCTAAAGTTAAGTTCACGCCCAAAAAACGTCCTATGGAAGCGATCAAAACCCTGAACAAGACACTCAAGGTGCTCAAAAAGGAGCATGCTGAGAAAACTCTGAAGTCTGATGAGTTTACCGAGAAGTCCAACGTCTTGGTGTCTTTGTTTGAAGAAACTGAAAAAGAGATGAAATTGGTTGCAAAGGAGATGTTTGATGGAGATGATTTCGCTCAGTCTAATGAAAAGTTGGCAGAGCTCAATCGTAAGAATGCTCAATCAAAGAAGCAGATTAAGAGTTATGGAACGCGTATTGAGAAACTTGACAATGAAATTGGAGAACTTGAGGATAAAATTGAATTGTTTGAAATCCAATTGTCAAAATATGCATCTCCTGCCAAAAAGCCCAAAACTTCTATTGGTTCTGCTTCTGCTTCCGCAGATGATGAGGAGCATGATGATGAGGAGCATGATGATGATGATGATGATGAAAAACACAATACTACTACCCGCGATACCACTGAAGCTGCTAGTAAGAAACGTATGCGTGACTTTCACCGCATCTATCACTGTAACAATGACGTTGCGGCTAAGACAATGCAGTGTACTACCAACCATCGTCTTCTTCCTGGTGATATTAAGCACAAGCAAAATTGCATGGAATGTTCCATTTGCAAGAACGATAAGAACCCTCGCCGACACTTCAACAAGAACTTACCCAAGAAAGAAGTTTCCTTGTCCGTTGGTGAGGGCTACTCTTTTGATGGGGCAGACTTAACTCATATCTCCCATCAGGGTTTTCGCTATGTGCTTAACTTTATCGACATTGTCAGCAAGACGAGAGTCGCTTACTATGTGAGGTCTAATGCAACGCATGAGTTCCGTGAAGCACTTGAGTATGTGAAAACGTACTCTAAGCAATTCACCGGCAATGAGCTGAAATACCTGTACTCAGACATGTTTTCAACTTACATGGAGTTTCGAAGTGACGATGGCATTGCTGCATTTCGCAATGAAACTGGAGTTACCCTGGAAGTGTGCCCTCCTTACATGCATTGGAAAAATGGTGAGGTTGAATCCTCCATCCATGAATGTAAGAAAGGGACTAGGGTCCGTCTCCGTAATTTCGATCAGCAGCTAGCTCGCTTGAAGAATCATCGATACATCAGAGACACAAATGACTACTGGCCATGGGCTTGGGAACACACGTGTCAAAGCTTTAACTCACTCGCGTCTGTAGCACTAGAAAAACGTTACGGTGTAGTTCTAACACCCTGGCAACTGTTTACTGGTGACACTGGCCATCACAAACTGACACTCCAGCCTTTTGGCGAATTCTGTTACAGTCTTGTACAGAAGGAGAACCGCGATGGGTCACTCGGTGAAGTTAGAGAGTCAGCGTATTTCCTCATCCATGGCCGGATGAACTCGTTGAAGAACAAGTTCACAGACATGCCCAGAGCGCAGGTATGTCTGTTCAATGATGGCAAGATTCGAACCACAGGCTCTGCGATCTTCCCATACGAGCTATCCAATGAACTTCATGATGGAACCAGGAAAATAATCTTAGATCCTGCTTTACCACAGCCACCTGAAGAAGAAACGGCGGATGTCTCTGATGGGCATGGCTGGACTCAGAGGACAATTCATCGCACCTCAGACGAATTCCAGCAAACCCTGTCCGATATCGACATGGACCTAAATAAGGACCCGGATCCCATGCAGATAGATCGGCAAAGAAACAAAATAGCCAAGGCACATGACGTGCCTAGGAGGTCATATGTTCCGGACCCAAGTGACTATCCGGATACAAAGGACAACCCGAATGAAGCGGCTTTCTCTCCAGAAGAGGAGGACTCCGGGGGAGGGGCTGACATGGAACATGGTCAGCAGAAAGAAAGGAATGAAACCCACCCACCCGTCCCTGAAGAACCCATGCGATATGGGGCCGATGGCAACTACGATCAAGACGACACATATGAGCAGGCGCACAAGGATATACCGCTTGAGTGCCGGCCACTCCCGTGGCACCTGCGTAAGCGCCGGCGTTCGCCGGTTCAACGTTTCAGCTTCGGCACTGACATCAGCAGGGCGGACTCTCGTTGGGACGAGTCTCTGCTTGTGATTCCTTCTATTGGCGAGTTACTCGAGGCGAATGCTGAGGTTTACGTCATGCCTGGCGCAACTCATCATGTGCGTGCTCACACTCGCTATAAGGCGTACCGACGCGCCAAGACCCTGCCGGAGTATTTCGCTTACGGCGGTACTCACGAGGACTACCGAAACGATGTTTGGTATGGCATTCTGCGCTTCTTGGACCCTGAGCTCTATGCTCTGCAGTACTCTCGCGGAGCTAACTGGAGCAAGCTTAGCTCCGGGGGAGAAAAAGGTATGCCCAAGATGGCAGGTGAAGCTTACGCTTGCTATTATCAGTCAGACTCAGCAGAACCTCCGATAGTGCCAGATAAATCCTCTCTTTGCGACGAGAAACTTTTACGCGAGGCAAGAATACAGCGGAATCTCGTAGAGGACTACCAGCGTGCCAATATGTTAGGCATGACACATGATCAGTACCATACAGTCAAGTATGACTCTTATAGTTTGGTGAAGAATCCAGAAGCTCATTATGCAACTAACTACGATGTTCATGAACAACTAGTGGACTACCTTACTCTCTTGACAAATCAAGTCATTGAGAATACTGAGGATGGTGCAGCTGCGATTCCACAGGCTACAGAGATCTTCTTAGCCCTATACACTGTCACTAAGGAAGACATTCGAATTGATACGAGCAAGCTAGCAGACCTAGCAAAGACACCAATTGAGCAAAGACCCAAAATGATAGAGGCCATAGCAAAGGAAATACATGACCTCTGCTCTATTGGTGCATTTGAACTAGTTCCTATGCCTGATCGCGCTAGACCCATTGACTCACGAATTGTCCTCAAGGTCAAATATAGAGCCGATGGAGCTTATGACAAGCACAAAGCTCGCCTCGTTGCGCGCGGCTTTCTTGCGCGCCTTGGCGTAGACTTCTTTAGCACTTTCAGTCCCATGGCTTCTCTTACCGCTGTACGAATGATGTTCTCCCTGGCAGTTAATCAAAGCTTCGATATTTGGCACTGCGATATTCCACAGGCTTTTATACAAAGTCAGATTGATGGTGATTCCTATCTTAAGTTTCCAAGAGGCGTCACTGTTGAACGTAACGGTAAATCAGGTGACGTTGTTAAGTTGCGCAAAGCACTTTATGGACTTAAACAATCTCCACAGCTTTGGAACAAAGCTTTGACATCCTTCTTTGAAAAGTTAGGATTCACGCGTGCAACGTCGGAAACCTCTTTGTATCACAAGACCAAAGTGCAATCAGACGGCTTACGGGAAAATCTCTTTGTCCTTTGCGAAGTGGACGATCTTGTTATCAGTGGCTCACCGAGAATGGTAGTCGAACTCAAAAACCAGCTTAAGGCTGAGTTCAACATCTCACAGTTTGAGCCTATGTCCAGCTTCCTTGGTATCAACATCAAATATGACAACCACCGTGGGCGCCTTGCTATGGACGTTGAGGAGAAGCTTAACGCACTCTTCAAAGAACGAACAATCCTAAACAGCATAGGGACGAAAGCTACCCCAATGAGATCGGATGCTAAACCTCTTGTCAAGGATCCCAAGGAGTTAATGGCGTACCTTCATGATACTAAGAACTATGCATCTATTGTTGGCTCTCTTATTTACATAAGTATCACTTGCAGACCCGATATTACTCAGGCTGTAAGTCGAGTCTCCAGAGGCATGCATGGTCCAACCGAGCAACATGTGGTCCTCCTTAAAGAACTCCTTCAATATCTAAATGGGACAAAGGGACTGAAGCTAGTTTACTTCCGTGACAAGCATCCCATCTTTGAGCACCTGAAAGCAAGCGCACACGAAGACAAGACTCTTCTTGATCTTGTACCGAAAGATTCCTATAAATGGGACTCTTTAGGCATCATCAAACCTAGTCATGACTTACCGGCGCCTGATGCACCTAGAGCATTTGACCCTGTGTGCAGTAAGGATCTCTGGGGCGCCAGCGATGCTGATCACCTACCAAAGATGGAAGAGTCTAAG